GGGGGCCATGCGGGGGGAGCCCAGCAGCCCCATCGGACACGTGGACCCCTTCTTTCAGCATCTGTAGCGTCTGTGGCCGATCTGGGGGAGTAGCGAGTAGCGGGGGGCAGCGCGCGTGGCGGCAGCGGTGGCGGTGAAGAACAGCGACCGAATCCTCGGCCTTTGAACGTTGTCAAGGTTAAGCCAGTCCGAATACTGCAGGGCCGACATCGGCCACTCGAGAACCAGGGCAAAACGTTGCCTCTCGATCTCGGCGGCCTCCCAGGGGATCGGGGCCAACAGAGACACGTGAGAAACAACGCTCAAGGCGCTGCTGCTCGAGCTGGACGCCCGTGGTCTTGGCGGGGGTCGGCAATGGCTCTGGTCCTTGTCGCCATCTTCTCGAAAGGAACTCAAATTCTCCTGTCAGGGCCGACGGCGGGCCCAGGCCATAACCTCCAGTGCGCGCCGCCAAAAAGATTTCGAACTCCCCCCAGCGGGAGGAGCTCGCTGGGACCCCCCCCCTCACGGGGAAGATTCGCGATGCGGCGCGCGGAGCGGAGATGGGCCTTGATATCGTCATCAACTATCGAGACCCGTGATGCGGCGCGGCATTTGGAAGCCTTGGGTGCCGGCCCATCTGGGGCTTCGGCGCTCCCGGGATTTCGGGCCATTTCCCCCCGCGCCTTCGGGTGGGCAAAGACGGCCCTGGCCCAGACGTTTGCACGCTCGGAAACGTGCCCCATAATGAACGCCTGGCAGCAATCGCGAGCAGGCCCCCACTTGAAGGGAATCCCTGGAGGGCGCCTGAAAGCGCGACAAATAAATGGGGAAGGATGCCGCGGCAGGACCTGGCGCGGGGGCTGAGGTGGCACGCCGTGGATCGCTCGGTGGCACCCTTTGGGGAACCTTACCTGGCGCGCCGCTGTTGCCAACCAGTGTCGGGTGACCGATGGGGGAGCCTGGGAGTGATTGAGCGCGGCCAGCGGCGCCGAGCGAATCGCCGCGGAGCTCAGACGAGCGCGCGCGTCCAGCTCATGACAGTTAGACAGGAGTTACGGCTGCGAGTGAAACTTCGTTGGGCTGGAGCGCCAGTCTTGCCGTTCACTTGCGAGAGACCGAGGTTGGCAACTCCCGCTGTTGCTTTGTTGCCGCCGTCCTTCGGGCCGAACGGGCGGGCGCCGCGGCCGCGCCAAGCCTCCCCGCCAAAAACCTCATCATCATTACCCATGACTCCCATCGAAATAAAAACTTGGAGGTCGGAGTAGATGGAGGGAGGCGTCGGGGGGCCCCGAGCAAGACAGTGAAGTGTCTTCATGGGGGCCTGTGGGGCTTGACCGAAGCCCCACGAGTCGCGGGTTTGTTCGTGGGGGCCGGATGCAGAAGGGGAAGCCCCCCAGCAAAAACCTGGCGAACGGTTGCTGGCGTGGGTGGCGTGAGCTCCACGAATTCCTCATTGCTCGCAAACTTGGACAGGTGCGCTTTGCCCCAGCTCGGGGCGACGGATAGCTTTTTCAATGCTGGGCTCCCAGTAGCTCCTCGGCGCGGCGGTCGGGCCCGCTGCTGATGCGCACGTCCCCCCTGGCCCTCCCTCTGCCGCTCCCGCTGAGAACGTCCTCCGATTGCGCGGGGGGCTGGATCTCCGCCCCGCGCTGGAGGGCTCCTTGCTCCGCGCGCGCGCGCGAACAGCAACTGGGCGCGGCGTGCGCTCTCTGCGTCTGGCGGAGACCGGCGCGCTCGGCATGGGCTGTTTGCCACTGAAGGTCAGTGCGCGCCCCAGCGCAGTCTGCAAGGCCATTGGGAAGGGGCGAGCGCGAGAAGGGATCAAACGTGAAAGAATGGGCGCCGCCACGCGTGCAATTGCCAAGGGGGCCAGCGCAACTTCACACCTTGCATTCAAATGGCGCAGGCACGAGGGCGAAGCAAAAGAGGGTGGGGCTCGCGCGTCCTGCGGCGATCGCGAAGCTGGAGGTCGCGAGCCGCCCTTGCCGCTGCCTGCCTGCACCTGGTCGCCAGCGTGAGCTCGATGGGGGCTGGGCGATTCGCAGTGCTAGCCCCGCTCTCGTGCTCGCTCAGGACCTGCTCGAAGGTCCGGCTTTTGAAGATCGCCCTCGAGATCCTCGTGGAGCAGTTGGCCACCTCGTCGCGTCTGCCATCGAAACGCAGCGCGGGGTGTCGTCGGACAGCTCGCCGTCGCGGCATTCTTGCGGCTCGCCGCGATGCTTCGACGCCAGCCGCAAGTGGCAGAAGCAGCCGCGGAGAAGGTGCAGTGAAGGCTCGGTCGTTTCTGGCGCCAGTCTTGGAGGTTCCGTGGAAACAACTCAGTCCAGGAGCAATCGACCCTGTCGGCTGCCTAAGGACCCCGCGCGATCCATTGTTGCGGGCGCGGGATTGACGGCCGGCAAGGGCGCGCGAAGCAACCTGGGCTGCAGGTCAGGGCGCCTCCTCGTGGGCCCTCCTCCCTTTCGCATGTGGAAGATGCTGCGTGCTGTAATCGATCTCACCATCGGCGATATTGAAGTCACCTATCAGGAGAAGACAGAGCGCCGACGGATGCTAACGGACCAGGGCAAGCTTGCGGTCGAACTCCCCCTCGATTTTGCCTCGGGCATCGCTGAGCATGCCGCGATTGTGCACGTTCCGATGGTGCTGGCAGAGGCCCGGCGACTGTGCTGCACATTCACGCAAAGAACGCGCCCTTCGACGACTTCGAGCGGCCGAGCTTTGCCATAGTGTGAAATCTGATAGGGGCGTTGCGCGCGCCGCCCCGAGGGCCCGCCGCGGCAGAGAACTCGCCATCGCACTTGGCCCGACGAAGGAGCTCCCTCTGGAGAGCTTCGGTGCTGGAATCACCGGTGGGCGACTTAACCTCCTGGAGATCCAAGGTGCCGGAGTCGCCGGGGGGCGACGTAACGACCTCCGCCTTCCGAGACAGCGACACGCACTTCTAATGCAGAAAGACGCGGCAGTTCCAACTCGCAAAGACCAGTTCATTTAAGCTCATCACCGTGTTGCCCACTTCACTAAATTCTGCCATGCGAGAAGATGCCTCTGGCGAGTCGGTGCAGATCGGCGCGAAAAATATTCGCACCGCTGATCGCGCCGAGATTTCCCTGTACTTCGGTCGATTCCAATGCGTCAACCTGCGCGCGGGCTAAAATTTTAGTCCACGAAGACTGCGCCTGCTTCATTCTCCAGGAACGTGCGGTAACCGAGAAACTCTTGCAACTTATCCCTGGGCTTTTTCGTGCTCCGCTCCCTGGCGACTTCAAAAACCTTTCGATCCACGCTGACGTACATATGAAGACGACGACTAGCCTGCATGGCCACCATGGAGGACCGCCGTGCACCTTGAGCGGCTCGCAGCACGCCGTGAGCCTGCGAGCCGTACTCTTGAGGCACATGTCGCCAGAATACCTGCGATCCTCAAAACAAACCGCTTTGCCAACTCATCACCCTCGATCTCGCAGTCAACGCCAGCTTGCTAACTGGCTACCTCCACCCATCCTGTGGCAGACGCTGGAACAATACTCCTGCTCACCTCCTCCTTGCATGTGATGACGCAGATCCCAGGGTCAATGGCTCTCTGTTAATCTGCGGTCCTGGTGGTACGCTGCCGTAGTTCCGCTCTTGCCAGATCGGGTCCTTCTTCAAAATTATCAAATCCATCCAACGGCGCCTGATGTGGCACCTTTCCCCCCCGCGATCCTCGACTCCATTGATGCCAGGTTTTCATGCATGATCACGGAGCCTCGCCTGCCTTGACTGGCCACGGGTGGCAACCAGCCGGGACACCACCGTCGTGATGGTCTGGGGGAGCTGGGTCGTGAACGTCTGGTGCGTCGTAGCGGCCGATGCTCTCGACAACTCAGCACTGATATCTGCCTTGGACTTCTCGATGACGTCTGGCATTCTTGGACCACCACCGCCTTGAGAGTCGAGGTGCTGCGCCCATGGGCCCGGCTCCCAGCCCACGGTGGACAGGGCCGACCAGCCCGGGGAGGAGGGGGGTCCTCCGATCGGCGTTCCGGCGTCCCTGGCATGGCACCCCTCTCCTACGAAGGGAAGGTGGCGGGGCTTCCTCCTGCTCCAAGAACGAACGTACGTACCTCCTGGGACGTCTGTGGCATCGAGTCGACTTTGGTGTCGGGGGCGGAGGACTGGCCAGGCGAACGGGATTCCCGTTCACTTCTGGAACGTCTCTCCCCACTCTGAAGTGTAGCTTCTAGCACGGCGTGGAGCACGGGGCCGAAGCGTCCTGGGTGTCCTCGGAGGTGCTGAGGAAATTTGTGGCGTATGAGCGTCGGCGCGGCGAGCACCATCAGCCTCATCACCATCACGCCGCCGCTGGCACTCCTCATTCTTCTTGGAATTCTCGGGCATCGACATTGGCTGGCGAAGCAACTGGAAATGCCCCAGTTCACCCTCGCCATGCAGTGCCAGCGGGGCTGCCTACAGCACGAAAGCGTCCAGACACACCAGTGCCTGGATCCAGACTTGGGCGGACGGGCCGAGAAGAAGTGGATTCTGTCCGCGGCCCAGCGGTATCCGCTCGGCTCCCCTGGGAGCCTTGCATCTTGAACCAAAGCGGTACGGACATGGATGAGGAAGAGAAGTAGGAAAAGGAGGAGGATTATGAGGAGAAGAAAAGTGAGGAGGATCAGGAAGGAGAAAGTGGACCAGTAAGAGGAGGAGGAACGGGAGGATAACGGATGACGATGACGATGACGATGAGGAGGAGGAGGAGGACGGAAGAGGATATAGAGGTGGAGGAGGATTTCGAAGTTGGCCTTCCCCCTGCTCGCAGCATATTGGTCGAAAGCACGGCTGCTGACCCACACTGCAGGAGGATTATGAAAAAGGATGAACAAAAGAGGAAACAGGATAGATATAATGCCCGGAGGGGGTCCAGCCAAAGAGAGAACAACAGTGAGGAAAAACGGGGGACCCACAGAGTGGAAAATGAAGGGTGGATTGGGGAGAACGATCAAGAGGATAATGAGGGAACTGGACGGGGGCGCCTCCCTCCGGTACCAGCGGCTCCAACTGAAACCTCGCTTGGACAAGAACAGAATACACGTGTCCCAGAGAGAGAGAGGTATATATATAGCAAGAGAGAGAGAGAGAGAGAGAGAGAGAGAGAGAGAGAGAGAGAGAGAGACAGAGAGAAAAAAGAGAGAGAAACAAAACGGTAGAGCGAGAGAGAGAGAGACACATATACATACAGACAACAACAAAGGGAAATATAGAGAGGGAGAGATAGAGAGAGAGAGAGAGAGAGAGATAGAGAGAGAGGGGGAAAAACACATTCCCTAAACAGTGCTGGAATTTTCCCCGACCATCCTGTGGTGTTGGGTCCTCGTTGTGAAAAGACAGCGCCCCGCGTTTCCCGCCTCTCCTCCTCCCCCTCCGTGCCCCTGTCCTCATCAGTATGCGTCTCCCCAACCCAGTACAACGTTTCGTGGTCCCACATGGAGTTCCACCGAAGGCCCCAGTGGCTGCACTCGCATGCGGTTCCCCCACCCATTACAACGTTTCGTGGCCCCATAGAAAGCTGTAACGAAGGTTCCACTGTCTGCACTTGCATGCGGTCCCCCCACCCAGTACAACGTTTCGTTGCCCCACAAGGAGCTCCGCCGAAGGCCCCCGTGGCTGTATTCGCATGCGGTCCCCCCACCCAGCACAATTTTTCGTGCCCCACTAGGGAGCTCCACCGACGGATCCAGGTGCTGCACTCGCATGCGGTTCCCTACCCAATACAACGTTTCGTGGCCCTACAGGGAGCTCTACCGAAGGCCCCCTTGGCTGCACTCGCATGCGTTTCCCCCGCCCAATACACCGTTTCGACGCCCCAAAAGGAGCTCCACCGACGGCCCCAGTGGCTGCACTCGCATGCGGTCCCCCCGCCCAGTACATTGTTTCGTGGCCCCATTGGCAGCTTCACCGAAGGCCCCAGTGGTTGTATTCGCATGCGGCTCGCCCACCCAGTACAGCGTTTCGTGGCCCCATAAGGAGCTCCACCGACGAGTCCACATGCCTTCCCCCGAGCCAGTTCAACGTTTCGTGGCCCCATAAGGAGCACCACCGAAGGCCCCAGTTGCATAGCTCGCATGCGGTTCCCCCACCCAGTAAAGCGTTTCGTGGCCCCATGGGGAGCCCCATCGAGGCCCCCATAGCAAAGTTCGCATGCGTTTCCCCCGCCCAGTACAGCGTTTCGTGGCCCACGGGGAGCTCCACCGGACGCCCCAATGGCTAAATTCGCACGCGTCTCCCTTATCCAGTGCAGCGTTTCGTGGCACATAGGAAGCTCCATCGAAGATGATACCCACAACTGCGGTATTCACAACTGCATATGATTGGGTCCTTCGCCGGGCTACCTGGAATATTAGAAGTATTTGCTTCGTTGAGGTCATTGGATGAAATTCTGGGTTTCCTCCACGTTGCGGCCTGTGCCGCCTCGTGGGCGTCCCGCGCTTCGGGGGTATGCCGAGCGTGCGCCACGTTGCCTCCCGTGCCGTCTTGCGGGCGCCCCGCGCGGGGCTTCGGGGACATGCCGAGCTTGCGCCGCGTTGCCGCCCGTGCAGCCCCGTGGGCGCCTCGTGTGCTGAGAAGGGCGGGCATGCCGAGGTTGTGCCACGTTGCCGCCCGGAGGTGGAGGAGTGAGGAGCGAGGAGTGAAGAGTGAGGAGTGAGGAGGAGGAGGGGGAGGAGGAGGAGGAGGAGGGAGGAGGAGGAGGAGGAGGAGGAGGAGGAGGAGGAGGAGGAGGAGGAGGAGGAGGAGAGGAGGGAAGAGGAGGAGGAGGAGGAGGAGGAGGAGGAGGAGGAGGAGGAGGAGGAGGAGGAGGAGGAGAGTGAGGAGGAGGAGGAGGAGGAGGAGGAGGAGGAGGAGGAGGAGGAGGGAGGAGAAGGAGGAGGAGGAGGAGGAGTGAGGAGGAGGAGGAGGAGGAGGAGGAGGAGGAGGAGGAGGGGAGGAGGAGGAGGAGGAGGAGGAGCAGGAGAGGAGGAGGAGTGAGGAGGAGGAGGGAGGAGGAGGAGGAGGAGGAGGAGGAGGAGCAGGAAGAGGAGGAGGAGTTCATGAGGAGGAGGAGAAGGAGGAGGAGCAGGAAGAGGAGGAGAAGGAGGACCACCAACACTACTATTCATTCACCCCCTTGATCATACGAACGGAACTTGCCACCAAGCACTGCTACTTCCCCAGATCTCTGAGGCGTGCGAGTCAAACTGGCCAGCAAACGCAGCTATTTGCTAAGATTAGGAAGACATCCGAGTGCAACCAGCCACCAAAAGCTGCTATTTCCCAATCATCCTGTGGTGTTGGGTCCTCGTTTTATAAAGACAGCGCCCCGCGTCTTCTCCTTCCTCCTCCTCCTCCCCCCTCCCTCCTCCTTCCTCCGCAGTTCGCATGCGTCTCCCCCGCCCAGTCCAACGATTCGTGGCCCCATAGGGAGCTCCACCGAAGGTCCCAATGGCGAAGTTCGCATGCAGTTCCCCCGCCCATTGCAGCGTTTCGTGGCCCCAGAGGGAGCACCACCGAAGGTCACAATGGACCAATCCGCATGCGGTTCCCCCGCCCAGTACAGCGACTCGTGGCCCCATAGGAAGCTCCACCGAAGGTCCCAATGGCGCAGTTCGAATGCGGTTCCCCCATCCAGTACAACGTTTAGTAGCTCCACCGATGGTCCCGATGGCGAAGTTCGCATGCAGTTCCCCCGCCCAGTGCTGCGTTTCGTGGCCCCAGAGGGAGCACCACCGAAGGTCACAGTGGACCAATCCGCATGCGGTTCCCCCGCCCAGTACAGCGACTCGTGGCCCCATAGGAAGCTCCACCGAAGGTCCCTATGGAGGAGTTCGAATGCGGTTCCTCCATCCAGTACAACGTTTAGTAGCTCCACCGATGGTCCCAATGGCGCAGTTCGCATGCGGTTCCCCCGTCCAGTCCAGCGATTCGTGGCCCCATAGGAAGCTCCACCGAAGGTCCCAGTGGACCAATCCGCATGCGGTTCCCCCGCCCAGTACAGCGTTTCGTGGCCCCATGGGGAGCTCCACCGAAGGTCCCAGTGGCGCAGTTCGCATGAGTTTCCCCCCACCAGTACAGCGTTTAGTGGCCCCACAGGGAGCTCAATCGAAAATCCAAGTGGCGCAATTCGCGTGCGGGTCCCCCGCGCAGTACACCGTTTCGTGGCCGCATAGGGAGCTCCACCGAAGGCCCCAATGGCCCAGTTCGCATGCGGGTCCCCCGCCCAGTACAGCGATTCGTGGCCTCACGAGGGAGCTCCACCGAAGGTCCCAGTGGCGCAGTTCGCATGCGGTTCCCCCACCCAGTACAGCGTTTAGTGGCCCCACTAGGGAGCTCCTTCGATGGCCCCAGTGGCGCAGTTCGCATGCGGTTCCCCCGCCCACTACGGCGTTTCATGTCCCCATATGAAGCTCCACCGACGGGCCTACAGACGCAGTTCGCATGCGTTTCCCCTGGCCAGTACAGCGTTTCGTGGCCCCATGGGTAGCTCCACTGAAGGTCCCAATGGCGCAGTTCGCATGTGGTTCCCCCAGCCAGTACGGCGTTCAGTGGCCTCATAGGGAGCTCCATCGAAAATCCCAGTGGCGCGATTCGCATGCGGGTCCCCCGCACAGTACAGCGTTCGTGGCCGCATAGGGAGCTCCACCGAACGCCCCAATGGCGAAGTGCAGTTCGCATGCGGTCTCCCCGCCCAATACAACGTTTCGTGGCCCCAGAAGGAGCTCCACGGAATATGATACCCACAACTGCGGTACTCACAAAGTGTTGGGTCCTCGTTTTGAAAAGACAGCGCCTCGCGTCACCTCACCTCCTCCCGCCCTCCTCCCCCTCCTCCCTCCTCCTTCCACCCCCTCCTTGCCTCTGCCCTCATCAGTATGCGTCTCTCCCACCCAATACAACTTTTCGTGGTCTCATAGGGAGCTCCACCGAAGGCCCCACTGGCTGCACTCGCATGCGGGTTCCCCAACCAGTGCAACGTTTCGTGGGCCCATAAGGAGCTCCACCGAAAGCCCCAGTGGCTGCAGTTACATGCGTCTGCCCCACCCAATACAGCGTTTCGTTGCCCCATAAAGAGCTCCACCGAAAGCCCCAATCGCAACATTCGCATCCGTTCCACCGGAGGCCCCACTGGATGCACTCGCATGCGGTTCCCCCACCCAATACAAGGTTTCGTGGCGCCACAGGGGGGCACTACCAAAAGCAACAATGGCGGCGTTCGCAGGCGCCGCCCCCACCCGGTACAACGTTTCGTGGCCTCATAAGGAGCTCCACCGAAGATCCCACGGATTGCACTCGCATGCGTCTCCCCCACTCAGCACATCGTTTAGTAGCCCCATAGGGAGCAACACCGAAGGCCCCAGGTGGCGGCCGCGCCCCATTGCGGCGCACCCCTCGAGCGTTTCGCGGCCCCATACTGGGTTCCACCTGAAGCCCGAGTGGCAGCGCTTACATGGCGGCCCCGCCCCATATTGGCACACCCTTCGCATGCTTCATGGCCACATGAGGAGATCCCCCGAAGGCGATACCCGCAACGACGGCACTCACAACTGCATATGGTTGGGTCCTTCGCCAGGATAGTGATGAAACGTTCTAAGTGTTCCGCAATTATTTTCGGGCGGGGCCGCAGGGTCGTGGGAATGTCAAGAGACCTTAGAACATCGCGGTGGGTGGTGGCCATTCGCCTTTGGAAGCATGAGGCATCTTAGACAATAGCAGGGTTCGGTGGCTTCGGGAGCCGCTGAACGCCACTATTCTCTAGGACCCGGATGACCAGACGCAGTCGAAACTACCAGGCACTGTTACTATCGTGGCAACTCGGCTTTGCTGTGTGCGCGTGGTTGCCCTCCCACACTGCTGCTGCTGTTCCTTCGTCTCTCCACCCTCCTCTCTCTCTTTATCCTGTCTCTCCCTCGCACTCTCACCCATTTCTCTGTCTCTGGCTCCCACACAGATGTAAAGGATGAGGGGAGGCGAGAAACGGCCACCATCTCTGTACCAACCACATGTCCCTCGTCATGTCGATGAAGTCTTAGAATG